CAAGGAGGCCCACTGGCCTGGAGGAAGGGATTCGCCTTGGGATCCCAGTTCTCTCGCAAAAAAGTCTTAGAACAGGAGTTACAGTGCATGCATACTTACGACTCCCACCTGTTGATGTCTTGTGCTACACTTTTTGTGCAAGTTCCTTTATAAAGACATTAGAATAAATATTAAATAGGAGTTTAAATCACATGAAGATTCAGTGAAGACAATACAAGCAAATGGAAAGGAATGTTTGAGTAACAGTGGCTCTAGAAGAGATGACCCAAGGGGATCTCTCACTTCCTAATCCATCAAGTGGGGTTTTCTCCTTCCTGCCCAGCCAGCCACCCAGAGCAGTAGTGGGACTCAGCAGTGCAAAGAAAAGGAAACATACTTCACACAGGAGGACTGACATTGGACAAGTTCACAACCTAAAAAAAAAAAAAAAAAAAAAAAACACTGGCGAATGTGCCTAGTACCAAGTGCAAAGTTTATCAGTTAGGACCCCATCGGGGTCCCCAAACTATAGCATGGAACTCTTGACCACACCAGGAAGGTTAGAGTAGATTGCAGCTACAGAAACTACAGTTTGATATGCAGACAATAAGCTAAAACTAAATCCAAGGCAAGACTAGAGGTAAGTGATGGACTGGGGTGATATAAGGCCAAAGATGGGGCGGTGATGGGACTTTTCAAGCTTTTCTCAGAGATTCCATTGGGGGTATGCCTAAGGACTTTGTATTTGATGGTGTATGGCTGGCGCGTGTGCTGTTGGGTCCATTTCTACTCAGAGGAGAACCAATCAGATCTTCTTAGGATGTCTCCAGTTGACCCCGAGACCAAGTAGAGCAAGACTTGGTCCTTGCAGGAAGAATGGTTTTGAGATACTAAGAGGCCTACAGCATAAAGACTGGCACTCAGAGTTATTTATTTCCAGCTGTCTAAGCTAACCCCATTCCTTTGTTCCCACCCCACGCTGCTCCCTCCCTCCCACTTTGGTCCTAAGACAAGAGGAGACCTGGGATTCCAGATGGTCCCACGCTCTGAGTGAAGAGAGCAGCACTGTCTCTGGTTCTTTCTCCATGGATGACGTCATCCCCTTGGGGCTGGTGAGAAAGGCTGTGCTCTTGGCTCCCTTCACAGTCATGGCCAGAGGATGCTCCTGTTTCCACTGCCCCTGGCCCTCCCAGCTTCCCATAGCTTCCTTCTCTTCTCATCTCTCTCATAACTGCCTTCCCTTCAGTGTCAGTATGTCCTCTGCCTGCGGCTGGGCTCCTGGAAGTCGGTGGGAGGGGTTAGGAGGAAGCTAGGGAGCAGGGGAGCTGGACAAAAGAGGCGTTCTCCTAGGTCAGACCATACATGATGCATGGACTCCTGTCATTAACACATGTGAAGCTTCACCAAGGAAGAAATACTTTGAAAGCACACTGGAGGTCTTAACAGGCAGCCTGCATGTGATGCTTCTTTCCACCCTGTAGATAAAACCATTATCTCACCTAATCTGCACAGTGGCTGGTGACGCCGGGACTGTTATTCCTGCTTTAAAGAATGGAGAGAGATATAGAGCTGACAATGAACTTCAGTTGTTCAAGTGCCTGCCTATGGCAAAGCCCTGGGTTTGATTCCCAGCACTGCACAAAACTGGGCATGGAGGACATACCTATAATCCCAGCACTTGAATCCAGACAATGAGATTTTCAAGACCACCCTTAGTGAATCTGAGGCTAGTGGAGAAATTGAGCTGGGTGTGATAGCTCACCCCTGTAATGTCAAAGCTTGGGAGAGTGAGGTAGGAGAATCGTGAGTTTGAAGCTGGGCTGCATAGCAAGTCTGTCTAAGGAAACAGAACACGTCAATAAACACAACAGTACCTCACAGACAAATTAAAATACAGATGCTACCTGGCAGACTTGGGATTTGAACCCCATTCCTTTTGTTTCTACACCCCAAGTTCTGAACCAATGCAGAATGTTTTCAATATGGATACAATTTCGCATTTGTTTTCTTAAAAAGGAGCCTCTGTCTTATGGATCACTACAAATTCATACATTCCCACACACATTCATTCCCGCTGGAAAACCATATAAAATGTCAGCATTGTTTCTTATGGATTTTTCCACACTGGAAGAGACTGAATGGGTCATTTCATTCCTCCCACTACCTCTGGCCTGACTGTGTTTCTCCTTCTGGAAGAAAGCCTGCCAGCTAGATTCCTCGTTGCTTGGTAAATCAAAACCTTGAGAAATGGCCCTGGATCTCTCTCCCAGCCCTGCAAGAGACTTCAGGTAGCAATCTTTCCCGAGGGATTATGTATGGAGGGGAGTCAGTAGTCTCCACCCAAGGTTTATGAGTATCACCAAAAGTATCAGGTAGGTTCTGGGGTTATATAGTGGCGTGTAGATCTCAGTCTCTACCTTTAAACAGTAGATACTCGGTAAATATTTCATGAGCAACTGAGTATTTAAGCCATGGAAGACATGGGCCCGGTACACAAGTAGGACTTCGGGAACACATACCTCAAGGATCTAAGAGGAGGCCTTGACAGGGGCATAGTGGGAACATGTATGAGATGTGGATTTAAATTCTTGGAACTAGAATTTCCATCATGGGTCTTAACTAGAGGTCGTCATAGTTTGAAGACTCATAATTATTGAGTTTCGACAACAGAAAGCCACTGAGTGAGGTGATGGGATGGAGAAGTACATCTGGAAGAGTGGTCAGGCAGTCGTGGGTCTGGTGGCCTGGAGGCCATTTCGGGGATATGTTAGACAGGAACAGAGTGACCGAATAGAAGTTGCAGGTGACAGGAGAGTAGATTAGAGCATGGGGGCAAATAGGGCAATTTGTGGGGAAGGAACTGATCTGGAGTCTCTAGCTCCATTCAGAGCTACGCCGATAGCAGCTGAGCATGTCTGAAAGGAAGGGGTCGGGATGAGGGCCGCCAGTGACAGGCACAGGTACTCCATGGGTTCTGTGTCTCCTTCCTGCCACCGCTGCACCACCATCCCTGCCACTCAAATGGCACATGTGTGCCCCAGCCAACTCCAGGGCTGCTCCGTTGTGCCTCGCCTTGCCCTGTATTAGTTAGGTGCACAAAGCAAGGGCAATCCCAGCAAAGGCCTCCTGGCCATCGGGGGCTGACAGTCCTCCACCGACCTTTATTGCTGTTGGCTCAAGGGAGCTTGGACAGATCTCTCCCCACCAGACTGGGATTGGTAGGAGATTTGATCCAGAATCCAGAGAGGACTAGCTGACAGCCCACACTGCAGTGCCTCTGTGTCCCCCACTATTTTAGTTCCCCACCCCCCACCCTTGGACTTAGCTCTGGGCATTAAGACAAGCCTGGGAGGTAAGATGATCGCATGGGTCTCTGGGGGGGCTTACAAACAGATGGTTCCCGCACAGAGGCTCACTGTGAGTAACTTGATCAGGATGTGGGGAGGGAGCTGGCAGGCCCAAGGCAGCTTGGGCACAGGGGCTGGGAACTTTGTGAATGTTATCAGGGACGACCTTTCCTCCCCAACCTCCAAGTAGGGCCCTCACCCAAGTCAGTCAGTCCCTCAGTCCCTTCCAGATGGCACCTAGGACGTGGGGCTAGGGAAGCTGGCCCCAGAACCCCTGCTTCTGGCATGGCTAGGGCAGAGCCAGCAAGGCTGAGAAGGCAGGAAGAATGCTAGATCCAAGCATGAGGGAACAGGTGCGTGGGAGGAGCTAGGCTGCTGGGCAGGGACTTCTGGCACAAAGGATCTCTGGCCTGCCTCTCCTGACCGGTCATATGTGAAGAGGAAGCCCCAGGCCTACCCTTCTCTCTCCTGCACCTTCTACTGCTCTATAGAGCACAGAGTAGCCTTCAAGTCTGGCCCTGTTGCCCAGCCATCTGCTGGTGGACCTGAGCTTGAGTCCTGGCTCTGTAAGCTGCATAGCCTCGGGTCCCTGGCTTCCCTCCTGCCCCAGCTTACTCACTTGCTGAAGTGGGAATATCAACCTCCCAGAGTTTATAGAAATTGAATGGGATGAGACATCGAGTACATCAGCATGATTCCCAGTAAATATTCTCACATGATTATTTCTACCATTGTCCCCACGTATGTAGTGCCTGAGGAAGCCAGAAGAGGGCATTAGATCCCCCGGAACTAGAGTTACATATGGTTGTGAGTTGCCGTGTGGGTGTTGGGAATTGAACCTGGAAGTGCAGCCAGTGCTGTTGACCTCTGAGCGATCTCTCCAGCCTCACCACTACCACTTTGTATACCCCCAGACTAAACTCAGCTCCACCTTTTACTATCTAATCACTTGTGGGCCTTAGTTATCTGTCAGATGGAAGCAATAATAGTCACAATCTCAAAGAGAGTTGGAAGGATTAAAATAGAGTAATCAATAATATGTAAGTTGATATATGCATCCACATATGTATCTATATGCATATGTCTACACACACACACCAGGCAACTAATCAAACAAACACATAAAACGCCAATCTCCAACTTAATGATTCTTGGACAAGGCATACCCATAAAGTCATGCTAGGTTTTTCTGTTGGATTGATTGATTGATTGAGACAGGTGTGTTCAGTACAGTAATGAAGTCAATACTTCATTATCACGTAATAGGATTTGTATTGGGAAGGTTTTCCATCTGAGTACTTGGACATAAGTTAGACCAATCTGTGATATTTGATGGCTTGGGTGTATTGAATGAATTTTCAACTTAATGATAATTTCTGTGGATTTAGCAAGTGGTGGAGCATATAAACAGCTTTTAGGATAGTGTCTGTCTTGGTTAGTTCAGTGCTGCTAATGTTATTTCTCTTACCCAGTCATAGCAGTATTCAGACTCCTCCTCTCATGACAGAGGTCTATTCTGTAGCAGACTGTGGAGGTGAGGTTCTAATGGCAGGCTTGGATGATCCAGGAAGTGTGTGTTCCAAGGTTACATACAGGTTGAGTGAGGTTCAAGGTGGAGGGGTGACCCCCCTGTAGCCCTAGCACTCAATGGCCTTGTGTTTTCTCTCATTTCAGATGTCCATGAAAGAGGTAGGGGACGGCTTACAGGATCAGATGAACTGCATGATGGGTGCATTGCAGGAACTGAAGCTCCTCCAGGTGCAAACAGCATTAGAACAGCTGGAGATTTCTGGAGGCACGCCAGCCTTCAGCGGCCCTGAGAACTCACAGAAACAGCCTGAATACCCTTGCTGGCAGGGTAGTGGAGGTCCTACGGGGCCTATGGCCGGTCCCTCCTCCAGCCAGCCTTCCTTTGACAGCAGCCTCAAGTTTCCATGCCATAGGAGTGCCTGTGGGAAGGATCTTGCTGTCCTTCCTAAGACACAGCTGCAGGAGCACCAAAACTGTACCCACCAGGGCCTAGAGTGGGCGGAACCAGATGACTGGACCTCCACGTTGATGTCCCGAGGTAGAAATCGGCAGCCTCTGGTGTTAGGCGACAATGTTTTTGCAGACCTGGTGGGCAACTGGCTAGACTTACCAGAACTGGAAAAGGGAGGAGAAAAAAGTGAGACCGGGGGATCCAGTGAACCCAAGGGAGAAAAAGGCCAGTCAAGGGAGCTGGGTCGCAAGTTTGCCCTAACAGCAAACATTTTTAGGAAGTTCTTGCGTAGCGTGCGGCCTGACCGAGACAGGCTGCTTAAGGAGAAGCCAGGCTGGATGACTCCCATGGTCTCTGAGTCACGAGCAGGACGTTCGCAGAAAGTCAAGAAGAGGAGTCTTTCCAAGGGCTCCGGACGGTTCCCCTTCTCAAGTTCCGGAGAGCCTCGACACATCGAAACCCCTGCCACAAGCAGCCCCAAGGCTTTAGAAGCCCCTCGTGGGGGCTTTGACATTAACACAGCTGTCTGGGTCTGAATTCGAGAGACGCTGGCAGAACCTAAGAGGTGGTTTCGTGCTGGGCCCTGGTGGGAGAGGGAGGGCAGACGGCATAGTCTTCAGGCCAGATGCAAGTTCCCATCCTCAGAAAGAAAGGACAGCAGAGGTCTTCTTAGTCAAACAGTGGGGAGGGGCTGCCACAGGGCAGGCTGAGGTAAGAGTCCCTGGAGAGAGAGAGAGTGTGTGGTGTGTGGTGTGTGGGTGTGTGTGTGTGTGTGTGTGTGTGTGTGTGTGTGTGTGTGGTGAGGAAGCCCAATCGGATGCTCTTGTATCTCCGAAGTGCAGAGGAGGAGGAATGTGCCTTCACCCAGGTGCTGACATGAATCCAAGCAGACATGTCGACTTTGCAGATGAAGCAGCAATCTCTGAGGTGTCCAAAAACACACTCATGACTGCTAGGGGGCAAATGGGCCACCTCAGGGTTGTTGATGGACCCTGGAGTTATACACTGCCTGGCCCAACAGTGAGTCCCTATCCAGACTCCTTTGCCTGCCTTAACGTTCCTTCTGGGCAGCAGATGGTTGGTGAGCCCAGAAACAACACTCATACATGAAAAAAAAAATAAATCTAGCCCACATCTCATAGTCACCTAGAGAATAGAACGAATCCTGGCTTCATCTACCCTCACCCTGGAAACCAACCAGGCACCCTCAGGGTGGGGTTAACACCAGGCACGTTGTGTAGCGAGTCGACAAGCCCAGAACCACCTTGGTCAATAGAGGGACCATCTGAGCCCTCCCTCCTTGGCCAGGAGAGGACAAAGTAGGTCCCTGTTCAAGCGCAGCCACCCTGGAGGGTGGCTTAGCTCTTCCCTAACCCCTCCTGCAGACCCAGCTCAGCCTGATGGGGTGTGACAGCTGCAATTAGAGGCAAGCCGCCTGCTGCCCCCAGAGCATTAAGAACAAATTGGAGAAGAAAAATCACAAGAGAAGCTCTTCTGCCTGCAGCCTGGACCCCCAGGGGACTGAGTGGAGGAAGGGGGAGCTTAGGCTGAAACTGGATGTAGGGAAGTAATGGCAGTTGTGGGGAGGGTCGTCTGCATGTTCTCACAGGGTCAAATGATAGATGATCATTCTTTTCTTAAGTGGGGAAAGAGGTTTTCAGTTTTAGTTTTGATCTGTCACTTTTTGCCAGACAATGCTCCCACCTCTTTCAGACCTAGAATGACCTAGAATTATTTTCCCGATAAATCAATGGGTCAAAAAGTCATGGCGTACAAGCTGCCCAGATCAGGCTGCCTGCAGAGGAAAGCAGCTCCCAGTTTGGATCCCTGGGCATCAGGCCTATCTTCCTTGGCCTGGAGTTTGTCAGTTGGGCTCACTCTCTCTGGCCAAGCAGGTCATTATCCATGCTGCCTCCCCTGAATTTCTGTAATATGGCTGCCTTTTGTGGCTGCAGCAATGCGTGTAGAAAAATGAACATGTGAAAACCTTACCCTCTGATTCCTGAAGGGTGGAACACTCAAGAAATTATTCGAGAGGGCATGGACTATGATTGTACAGGAAGACAAGTCACGTCTTCACCATCCATATGCAACTCAACTGTTTTGTGGACTAGTGGTACTTGACGTCGGTTAAATGGACTAACATGACAGACTCCTCTCCTGTGTGGGCATTGCAATGGAAGAACTCAGCGATGGGAAAGGAACAAGCTGCTCTCCTCCAAGTTACTGAGGCACACAAAGAAATAGAGTTAATCATTACCTGGCCAGAAAGGAGTCAAAGGACCAAAACAAAACAATTAGGAAGTAATTTTGGCTTACAAGATAATCCACAGGTGCCAGGCACCTTTGCCTTTATTTATACTCTTATTTCCTTTTTGCCACGCCCAGGAAATGGCTGCTCATTTTAGATCATTTTACCTGAATAGAGGCTCAGAGAAGTTAACTCCTTCAAGGCCAAACAGTACAAAGCTGCGATTGAAATCATTTATAATTGACTTCCAATCTTGTGTTCTTGTACCTGGTAAACTGTCCATATTTGCTCCACAGCCGAATCAGGAATAACAACATTTGTCCTCTGAGATTATTCACACCTCTTCATGATTGACAAGTGGCATGCTCATTGTCTATTTGAGGAATATCTGTTGGAGGGCTACTGGAGGAATTTTGCCTGGGCTTTTGAAGGGGCTGATATAATATCCCAATGACTATGTCATGCTTTACTGATGAAAGATTATGGTAACTCAACCTCATGTAACTGTTACTTTTCTGTCCACATTCTTGGCTCCTGCTGACACAGTGATGAAGACTGCTCTACTGAAGTAAGTGCAGAAGTGACTAGCCATGCCTCGGGCCGCAGTGATGAAGAGTGCAGGGCAACGTTTATGTGGCGGAGAAGAGAGTGAAAAAGTAGGCAGAGAAACCAATAGCTTAATTCTGCCTCTTGGGCTCATTTTCTGGTTAATTAGGACATGCAAATGAGCTGGAAGCTCATTTTATACCCATCTTGGCATGGAGGTCTGCCCTACACCTGTCGTAATTCCTTGGCAAGTATTGATGGCCTCTGAGTTGGCCTAGGCATCTTCTCAGGGCTCTACCTGCCTCTCTCTGGTCAGTCTGTAGATATTCTCCAATGACAGCATCCACTGGAAAATCCCTCCACTGTTGGGCATGGTTGGTAGAGCCTGCCAGATCTCTTTGCTTCCTCTTCACAAGCCTGCAGAACTGGAACCCTCTCCAGGCTCTTCTGCAGCTCACCCTCAGGGTGCTCTCTAACCCAAACTGATCCTGAGGAACAGACACGTGACTCAACTTTGCCCCATCCTCACCTGTTCTTCAGAGGCTCCAGAGACGGCTGTCTTTCTCAAGTCACCCCAGCATTGTCTACAGGATAAAATCAAGAGTACACCATGTCTGGGAAGCTGCAGCCTGTGTGCGTCTTCTCTGAGGAAGTGTCCATTCACCTCAGGTGATCTCTCCAACCAGGGCTGTTAGGTGTTTCTGACAGCACCAAGCATTTCTGTGAATTCCTGATCTGGGAGTCAAGGAGATAGGAATCCAGACCCAGGCCTGTTTTTGTGTGAGCCTGAGCATGTCCCCTGTGAAAGGTTCAGGCATTACGCTGGCCTGCCCTGTTACCTGGCAGGATGCACTCAGGCAACACTCTGGCCAGCCCAGAATTCTGTGAGAACCATGCAGGTGCAAAGGACCCTTTAAAGGACTGACCCCTGCCCGCTTACCGTCTCTCATCTTCCTCTCCATCTCATCTTCCTCTCCATCTCATCTTTTCTCTTACTCTCATCTCTTTTACTTTCTCTTATTCTCTTCATTTCACCCCCTCCCTCTCTCTCTCTCTCTCTCTCTCTCTCTCTCTCTCTCTCTCTCTCTCTCTCTCTCTCTCTCTCTCTCTCTCTCTCTCTCAGCTCTGCATGGGTTAGTTACCTCTCATCCCCCTTTCCTTCCCTGTCCACCAATAAAACTCCACGTGGGATCGTTGAGTCATGGTTTGTGTCTCGTTACTGGATAAACCTAGACATTTTAACAATAGCCTGCCCTGCTGGAGGCTCCTCTGCTCTCGTGTGAAGTAGGTACGATGCAGGGTTGAGTCCACTGTTTCCAACACACAGGTTCCACAGAAATGGCACTAGCCGTCATCTCTAGCCTAACCACAGACCCCAAGGGACAATGCTGAAAATAAACAGTGCTTTCTCTGAGCCCTGGTTTTGTGCTCTAATTTTATCACAGGATCATGGCAAGGATCAGAGGTGTGTGAGTCTGGTTTTGTCTACTGTAGAGATGTTGCTTACCTGGGCTGTTTTGCCAAATCTTACACTTACACTTTTTGTTGAGTGGGGAAGGAACTTGACAAGACCTACTCCTTGATCTTCCTGTTACCCTTCCCTTCCATCAGTCCCAAGGTATCCCTTCCTTCTACCTCCTGCAAGCCCAATGAACACCCTTGCAAGCCATCACCTACTGGAGTCCTCTTTATCCCTGCAACAAAGTTCCCATTCTTACATTCCAATGCCCCACTCTCCATCACCACCCCACTGTTTCCTGAAGGCACCCCTGTGCTGGTCAGAGGCCACAAGTCAGTGTGCCCATAGCTGGGGGCAAATCTCTCACAGGAAGCCTTGGCAATTACTAAGTTTTTCTTTTGTCTGCATCTCCTCAAGCAGGGTCCTTGACTGGACTCTACCCTGCCCAGGGTAGTAGGAATCAGAGTTCTGCACCCCTGCTTATTTTTAACTCTCCCCATGTAGGTGCTGGTTCAAAGGGGAAAGCTGTCCTCATCTAAGTATGGCCCAGGGTAAGGACACCAATAGGGTGTAGGAGCAGTTTGTGACTTCAACCTGGCCCTCCTGTCTAACCACAGTGTCAGAGGCCCAACCTTGCTCAAGTTGATCCCAACTGTCGTGCTGGGCCTTGTTTCTGGAACTTCTCCCCTATTTTACCCACCAAGGAGATGGGTTACCTTTAGTGCCCCAAGCTCGGGTCTGCCTGTGCTGTCCTGAGTGCAGTTCCCGCACAGACCGCCTTTCACTCGTTACTTTTCTCAGCTAGAAAGGCACTTTGGACTCTCCCGTAGGCCTTGTCTAAAGCCCACTACTTACTCAGCTTGGTGAGCTGCTTCTGTGCTGAACACCTCCAGGGTAGCAACTACTCAGTTTTCTGCTTCCAGTACTGAGCTCAGGGCTGCTGTGTGTGATTTCCACTCCACCGGGAGCCCTGAGCTGAGCCCATCATGAGTTTATCCTGTTTAGGGACAGCCAGTGGCCAAGCTTTTCTTAGCTGACCCCCTCTTGCCCTATTTTTCACAGCTTCAAAGTCCATTCCCTAGGAAAGAGGGGAGTGGTGAGCAGTTATTGTCAGAGCAGGAAACCTCAGTAGAGTCCCCACTTGAAGCTGTTGCACAGCCCTGTCCCTGGTCCACGGCTTGGCTTTTCAAACCAATTCTATTTTAACTCCGGCTGCCGTGAAGTCTTACCTCCCTTCCCTCACCTCCCTATCTCTGTTGTCATGCTGTCACTTGGATGCTCAGGTCTTTCAGATGATCACAGCCACTTCTCTCTCAACAGCCACTGAAGAAGTCACCTTCGTCCCAGGCCCCAAATGTTCTCCCTTTCTTTCGTGGCCTCTTTCCTCCAGCCTTCCTGACCCGGGTCACTTCCATGGATGTCCTTTTTACCAACATCTGGTCCCAGACTTTCCTACCCCAGGATGTTGTCCTGAATTACTATGCACTAATGGGGACACCGAGTTTGCTAGATCCTCCTCCCCTTATTGTGTCTATTAAAAGGAGGGGTGGGGTGGGCAGGGTAACAGGGAAGGAAATGGAGAGTTGGGTGGTGAGCGCCTTCCCTACCTCCCATTCCACTTCTGGCCACACTCCAGGCATTGTCTCCCACCAGGCCCAGAAGGTGCTCAGGCACTTATGAGAAGTTGTGGGAGAGGGCTGACAGCAGGAACTTAGGGAGGTGTGTGTGTGTGTGCGCGCGTGCGCGCAAGCTCGCGCATTCGGGCACTTGTATGGAAGTTGTGGGAGAGGGCCGACAGCAGGGATTTAGGAAGGTGGTATGTGCGCATGCCCACCTGCACTGGTGATGGACTCCCTGGCCTTGCTTATGCTAGATCCATACTCTACCACTGATCCACCTCCTTCCTATCTCCGAATCAAGCACTTAAAAAAAACAAAAAACAATGTTTCTTCCAAATGAGGTAAGTACAACTGAACCCCTGCATACCACCAGCTCCCTGGGCATCTCAGACCATGTCTTTGTTCAGTTCACACCCATCAGTGGGCCTAAAGACCTAGCTCATCATCACAGACCTAGGCCAAACTCAGTGAATTGTTCAGCCCCTCTGCTGAGGTTCCAAGCATCTGCTGATAAGGAAACTCAGATCCTAGAAAATGGTTATGTTTTCCATCAGTGGTACCAGGGGTCCTGAGAACTCCAAAGCTTCTGGCATAGGTTTTAGGATCCTTCTGGGAGTATAGGGATCAAATAGTATCTCCAAGCTTCTGATAGCGCTACACAGTTCACAAAGGACAGGCAGGCTCTGTTGCTCCATGCCCTGCTCTGCAAACTGGAAAGGCTGAATGCCTAACACCCCCTTATCCCAGGCGTTCCTTCAAACATAGGACTCAAATCGGAAATAACACAACTCTAGACAGTCAGAGGGGCTGCTGCCTCATCTATGGTGTAGACACAGAGAGAAACCTAATAAGGTACGGGAGTTAGTAGTTACCGAAGGTCCAGGGTGTCAGTCCTGTGCTAAGCGTAAGGGGAACAAATCATGTCAGTTAACACAGAAATAAGAACAAAAGCTTTTCCTCCTTAATCTTTTCTAATATCCTTGTGAGTCAAGTGTCCCCAACCGGTGGTTCATAAAGAACTGATAAATGTAATTTGTAGGTGTTTTGCCTACAAGTATGTATGTTCACCACATGTGTGCAGTGCCCATGGAACCAGAAAAGGGGCCAGTACCCTGGAACTACAGTGAAGATTGTGAGCTGCCATTTGGGTCTGGGACCTCTTCAAGAGCAATCCAGCCCTCAACAGTGTTCTTGATGACATACTATTGACTCTGTGCTGTGCCTTTTGTTATAATCCTTCCCAGACTAATACTGATTTTCCTCCTCCATACTCAACTCAGCCAATTCCATTATCTATATTATTCTTCCTCTTGTTCTCCTCCTCCAGACATGGCCTCTTCATTAGTCCTCCAACATGCCTAGCATGTATGTGCTCTATAGAGTAGGCTCTTGCCCTTACCCTTTCCCCGTGTGAAGACCCTTCTTTCTCCTAGGCAATTGGCATGGGCTCACAGTTTCAGGGTTTCCTCACATAACACAGGGACACATAAATCTTTCACCTACTCCTCCTGTTGCTCCTTGTACCATCTAATTTTTTAAAAACAGCATCCGTCATAATAAACACACAGGGGTTTTAAACATTTTTATCTCTCTACTTGTGTGGTATGTGTACTGTGTGTACACATGCAAGCTCATGTGCCCTTGGGTATGTCTGTGAAGGCCAGGTCAATGTTGAGTGTCTCCCTCTATCACTCTCCACTTTAAGACGGGGTCTCTCATTGAATCTGGAGCCCACTGTTTGGTTAGACTCGATGGCCAGTCACTTCCTGGGATCATCTTTTTTCATTTGCCAGTGTTGGATTATGGAATCACCAGGGCCTGCCTTTTACATGAGTGGGAGTGCTAGGGATCCCTTCTCAAGGCCTTATGTTTACAAAGAGTACCTACTTAAGAGTACCTACTCACTCTCCCCACCCCAGTCTTTTGCCAATTCCTAAGATTAAAAGTCTACAAGGGAAGGTATTTGGGTATGCTTGATTCATTGTTACATCCCATGCATTCAGAACAGTACTGGTTTGAGCACAAATAACAGTAACTGTTGATAGGCCAATAAAGATCATGCATTTTCTGCTTTGTAGGCCCTCCAACTTTAGTGTAAGAATTTGAACATGGATAAGATTAAAGAAAATCACTGAAAACAACAGTTTAAAGTAAGAGACACACACCTGTTTAAAATTGGGAAGGTTTATTAAAGTTTTTCCCTTGTGGGAACAGCCAATCTCTTGCATAGCAATTAGCAGTTAGGCCTAGAACTATAGTTGTCTGCTTCTTAACAAACCCAAAGCACTTGCAACTCTCAAGTTTTTTCCAAAGGCTGTTAATGCCTGGAAAACAGAACCCATGGTGTCTTCCCAAAAAAGAAGCAGGCACCCAGTTCGAAGTCTGTAGCTGTTCCTAAAACAACATTTAAACGGGACAGAATTGAGGACTGCACGGTCAATGAATCCAAGATGAAATTGCAGGAAGAAAAACCCAAGATGAACAGAACAGCTGCACTATATTTGCAAGAATATCTGTGTTTATATTCTGAGCAACTAATAGCTGGGTATTCAGACCTCTCAATGCTCACATTCATTTGCTTCCCACCAGACAGGCTCTGTTCAGACCCTAGAAGAGCTTGCAGACCAATGTGTCCTTTGATGTTTGGTGTGGATTCAGTGGGACTACTTTACTATATATTTAGCACCTTAAATAAGCATAAGACTCAAATAAAAGCCTATTTTGAAAATTATTTTTCTCCAATTATGAGATGATTTCTTCATATGCTGGTTTCAACACATGATTTGTAAGAGCATATTTTGTTTTCTAACATCCTGTGAGTACTGGTCAGGAAGAAAAACATATTACTC